AGTAGTAGTAGTAGTAGTAGTTCAAACCTCAAGCTCGAAAAGTCAGGTGGGTCTTGTAGGCCTCGGGGTTGGGGGCTTGGATAGGTGGCGGTTGGGCGCAAAGCATTGGTCTTGTGCGGTTTTTGGCTTCAGGGTTCAAGGCTTAGGTTCGTGGCACCACTCCAAGGAAGAAGCCGATCTGGAGCCTGGGTTAAAGGCAAGGTGCTGGCACGCCGTTTGTGCGCCTGCCTATGCACCTCGCAAAGCCTAGCCAGCTTTGTGTCAACGCTGGATTGCAGCTTCTGAGCCCCAAACCGTGGCTCCAACCCCTAAGCTGGGTCCGTGTTGAGGAGGCTCCTTTAGGTTACAATGAGGACTATCAAGCATACTTGGCTTTCCTTCTTATGGTGGTGTCTTGCATCACTCTTCCATCAGTACAACGCAGCAGTTAACACTGTATACGCACCGCCATGATAGTGAACCGCTGTATCATTATGCAGATTCTGCACAAATGGGCTAGGATATTGGGAGTTCTATACTATAAATACATTAAGGAGCCCAAGGAACATACATTCTAGTTGTTCAGACCCCTTGAGCACCAGGGGTCCTCTTTGGGATGTCTTTATCTGGTTTTATCGGCCTCTACAGCGGGCTTATGCTTATGCAGTTCGATATAAGCGGATTCAGAGAGCATTTGTTTGACAAGCTTCTTGTTCGTGTCTTTAGGGCTTCAGACCGATATTGCTCAGAAGGTTAGTCCTGTGGACAAAGAGTCCTGGGTCGGGAGACTACGGTTTACCTCCAAAAGTTGGTGAGGGGTGTGAAATGATATGAATCCCGAGATGGTTTTAGAGCAGAATGTTAATGACCGTAGAAACCTGACGAACTAACTCAAAGATGACTATAGACTATAGTGGGCATCCGAAGATTCAAGCCCGGAAAGGAACGAGTCTTGAGCCATAGGCTCTACATAAGTATGGAGGCTCCTCCTTGGGGCGTGGGATGGTCGGGTTGGAAGAGAGGCCTAAAATTTCGGAGTCCCTCAACTCCTCTGGAAGGTTAACACAAAAACCAGTTCTCTGGAGACCCCTGCTAAAGTTGCTAAACGAAGACTACCCGTAATGCCGGGGCCTGAATGATTGCATGGTATTGGTCTTCACGAGAATTCCCCAGTCTACTTGTAGTATAAAAACCACCAAGACCGAAGTCAACCGCTTCGGGCTTCATAGATTGAAAGACGTCAGGTCTTGGTTTAGGCTTTCGTGATGACGTAGATTATGAAATGGCCAGTTCTTGAAAGCCCTAAACAGCTAAACCCCTATACGTCGTAAACTTCAAAGTCTTAAAACCCTTAGACCCTAAACCCCTACACCTTAAACCCAAAGACCTCTTGCATCAGGGGTTGGAGTTTACCACGGAGGCTCCAAAAAACGTCGCCAAATCTGTAGAAACGCTTCCGGCTAGCATGCCGGGTCCTGAGGCTCTGCCTGAGCACGTCTTAGGTTTAGGGTTTCGGGGCTTAGGATTTAGGGTTTGGGCTGAGGGGTGTAAGGGTTAGGGGTTTAGGGGGACTAGGGGTTTAGGGTTTAGTAGGGGTCCATTCAGAATTACAGTATGCTATGCTCGAAGTTACAACATCTTTAGCATTAATAACTGAATAGCTTCACAAAGTATTGTCCCGTTACGAGGATTGCGACATATCTCACACTGAACTTCTGAACAGTGGTGATGCTACCGTAAACTTTCAACCTGAGCCCAAAACCGACAAAAAAACAGAAGGCACTTCTCAGAAGGGCCGAGCGACTGGGTGGATCTTCAAGGCGCGTGGGCTCATCCTGCTAGGGACGCAATTCTGCCACATCTCTCGCGCCAAAGCAACCTTGAGTGTGTGGGTCTGGGGGTTTTGAGGTCTAGAGTTCAGAGGCTTCTTTTCTTGTTTATCGCTGTTAGATGCCTTTTGGCTCAGGGCTCTAGGGCACTCTAGGGTTTCAGGTTTAGGGTTCAGGCACTTCGGGTTTGGGGTTTCTCTCGAGAGCAGCCTGCGATTGGTATTGTAGCGACTTGGGGGAGCAGGGAACATAAAGGACAGGATATCATGGTTAAAAGCTTGGGGGCAAAGTTGGGCTTATGAGTTTAGGGTAACAGGCTCAGGGTAGCAAGCCCCAAATCATCAGATCAGGTTAACTAAGAGCCCAAATATGGGGCACATCTTGTAATGACAGTATAAATAAGTTCAACTAACTATATGGGGCCTCTGAGGGCAGAAAAGCACTACATATTCTCAGACCGGGACGCCACGCCCCACAGCGCTACCCAAGATCCTAAACTAAACTCAACACCCCACCCTTGGGGTCCGGGGAGGGTCCGGAATCCTAAGTTGTGAGAAGCCTCAGGCTACACCCTGAAGTCTTGGCCCAGAAGCAAGATCCTCCGGATCACGCATTTGCACGAAGGCGTAACCTTGGTCCCCTTTAGGAAGGACAGCAACCAAAAACAATTTTGGGAGGTTTGTTGAATATTAGGCAAGAGCCAACAGCCTACTAAAAGGTATAGGCCCTAGCACCGCTCAGCTCCCTAAACCCTAAACCCCATAAGCCCTACCTTGACCAAGACACCCTTACACTTGGCGGCACTTGTCTTGGGCATCTCAAGCACATACTCCCTCCGGGCGAGCGTGTTGAGATACAGTCGGAACCTTAGTGCTCTCCTTAAAGGGGTTTCATCACAAATAGGTTATAAACGTTCTGCTTTGTAGGGTTCTAGGCGGGTTAGAAGCCCAAAGAAGCACCCAAACATAGGCTTTCTAAGGCAAGGTAGTGCCCGAGTTTTAGGGTTTAGGGATTAGGGTTTACTAAAGTCAACTACCAAGGATCTCTGGCTCCGTGCAGCGGGCAGGGATGTTGCGGATCATCATCTTCCTGAGCTCTTCTCTTTTCCCTCCAAAAAGAGCTCTAGCTGCTGGGTTTAGGGTTTAGGGTTTAGGTGTCTTGGAGTTACTTGCTCTTTGCTGTTCCGAAGAACGAGGCATAGCCAGATTTTTGCTGGAGTCTGAAAAAGGGGTCAAAACAAACTTCGACACTCTAGAACCTAAAAAACTTCTCGAAGGCCTGAACTTTCAAGATCTGCTGAGGTTCGTTGTCGTTAGCCACTGGATGCTGCTCGGGTGCAAGCCGAACTCATCCGACCCTCGGAGCAGCTTCAGGGTTTAAGGGTTTAGGGTTTCGGGGTTTAAGAATCTAGGGTGCAAGGTTTGTAGGTCTTAAGTACAGCTTGGGATTTCGGGCTGGGGATTTGAGGATTTAAGGCAAACAATTTACAGTTTCGGGCTTATCGCATAGGGGGTTCATAATCTTTAGTGCGGGCTCAGGGTCTAGGGATCAGGCAAATCGCGGAAAAAGCTCTACACCTTTGTACCGCTGCTTCAACGCACGGCACCCCCACACAACATGGACATACAAGGATAGTTCTGCGCAGTGAGCCCGTGGCCCAGTTACCTGGGCTAGGCTAAGGCCTCTATAAAACTTGGAATTTTTCCATCACCTAGGTAAGGTAAGGGCCGCAAGGCACACTGGTAAGTGAAAGAAGGAAGCAAGACACTGCCTCCGAAACCCATAAACTGGACCCGACATGGCCCTACTATGCCGGTACTGCGTACCCCAACAGCAGCCCCAAGCCCAACATCCTGTGCCCTCAACCTTGGTCCCTCCACTTACCAAAAACCCAAACTCCCTACACCTCCCTACAGAAACCCTGAAAAGAGCCCCTTGCAGACCTTTGTAAATCCCCTCTTTCCGAGCTTTGCTTCGGCACCCTGTAGAAATCCGGCAAACCACCCTCTACAAGCCCCAAATAGAAACCCTACTGACAAACAGACCTGGCCATGCGGCACAAAGTGAATGCCTCCGGAATCTTCTCTGGGTCGCTGCGCACCTGAAAAGCAGGGGCGGCTTCTGTGTTCGGCCTTCATGGGAAAGGTTTCTGAAGGGTCCTTGTGAGTATTTTGACAAGTATTCATATAATCTCGTAGACTGTTTTAAGGGTTTTGGGGATTTCAGGGCCTCTAATGCGCGCTTCTTCACTTAGGGAGTCCCTCTTCCATGGATCGTATACAGAATGCAGCAATCTGCACAGGACCTTCCACTTGTTGTTCATGGACGTGACTCGGCAAGTAGAAGCTCGTGATATCCAGAAGAAAACATGTCCAAATTATAGTCAGACTACCCATCGTTGATCGCTACGGGACATTTTGCTGCTTGAGCAGACGACGGCGCACATGGCCCGCAAGACAGTGCG